TGGCGGTTCCATCACCCTTAAACTGGGGCTCACGGGGTGACTYGCACCCCTGCGGGACCGTGACCCGGGGCTGGTGGCAGGTGCAGCCCCCCAGCACACCCTGTCCCAGCCCAGCAGCCCCTCAGCATCTCTGCAGCAGGTGCAGGTGGGCAAACTGGTGCCATACAGCACCGGCACAGTGTGCTGGGCAGCGGCACCATGGGTTGGGTAAATCCCAAAATCATCGACTGGTTGAACCATGGGTCGGTGTAAAGTGGTTTTCTTTGACTGATGAAGCAGCAGAGAGTGACTGCAGCCCTGGTGGAGGGGAGCATCTTCCCTTCTACTCAGGACATCCAAAATGGCCCCTCTGACAGTGGYTTGAAGGGCTGATGATGTACCCATCAGATATTCTGTGGCAGAACTGGTGATGGCAGAGAGCAAGGCCAGAGCCTGACTGCGCCGTGCCAGGATTTTTAATGGTCCTCTGTGCATCCAAAGGGAGAAGCCAGCTACAATCTCGCTGCTGAATCATTAATTTCCCTCCTCTGAGTCATCCTGCAGCCCTGTCAGACACAGAGCRGACACAAGCGGAGCTGAGGTGGGCACTGGCTTCAGGCTGATACAGCGGGTTTAGAAAACTGGTTGCAGGATAAAAGACAGATCTACAGAACCAGTCTGCACCCACTTGAAGTAACCCCAGAAAGAAGGGTTTTGACATGGAGACAGGACCCGCACCAGCAGCTGGTCCTTCTGTATTAAATCTCTGCGAGGTTATACTGGTACAAAGCATACAGATTGGGGATCGACATGAGGAGATGGTAGGAGCTGTAAATGCAAAGGCTAAATGAAATCTCACTGGGGGCAGGTGGCTCCCCAACCTTGCTAAGGCACAGCCAGGGTTAAACAATGCTCAGACATTTCTGAAATGTGTCACCAAAGATGCCAGGAGAAAAGGTTGTTGTGACAACTGAGGATTCCTGTGAGGATGGGACCCTGCTGCACCAAAAACTTTGCAGAGACAAGTGTTGTAAGGTTATTTTTGTTTGCCTTTCAGCCTTCCCCTGCAATGTTTGCCAGTTTCAATGAAGCAGCACCACTCCAAGGCCAGACAGACTGAAAGGGTAATGGACTGGGGGCTTTGCTGGAGAAACCAATTTAAAATGCATGGAAGGAAAAGAAACAATGTGAAAAATTAGTCACTTCCTCTAAAAAACCCCTGCCTTTTGTTTTCACAGTCCAAATATGCCTACTGCTGGGGAAAGGAGGGGAGAACTGTGAGCTTTACTACGTGACTGGCATCATGCTCATGCAGTTATTTTCACTCTCTGGGTTTGGTGTGAATTCCCCCCGCGATGACACAGAGAGCATTGCTGGCATTTTCTGAGCTGCAGCACCATGAGGACACCAGTGCCAAAAGCATCGGTGTTGTGAATATCGATCTAGTGATAATCCAGCCYTTCCTGATGCAGGTAGAACCTGAGCAAACCACTTTTTTGGTGCTGATTGGCTCAGCACCCAATCCATGAGTTCAGCATCTCCAAAAGTCAGCTTCTCCCTCCTCAGAGGTCTCCTCCCAAGTCACTCAGGTCTGCAGGCTGCATTGAACCGCACATCTGGGGAACAAAGGCAGCCACTTTGCACTCACACACTCATGTTTCTGTTCTCTGCTAGCTGCAGACTCACAAAAGACACCCAGGACAGCAAGTTCAGTGACTTTTTATTTGTGCCTTTTGTCACTGGGCTGTTTGAAGTGGCACATGCAGCAGTGGTGATGATTTTATGCAGTCTGATTTACAGCAGTGGCTGACAGCCACCACAAGGGCACTAACAGACTTTTGCACAACATAYTGGTGGCTGCTTCAGTTTATCCCTCAACTCTTTTGTTATGTCTCAGCCCACATCTGGTTCCAAACAAATGCCTTTCTTAGGTGTGGGCCTCAGAGAACTGGCGTGTTTGGTGCCTGGGCTGAAGGCAGAGCCACTGGACAACGGGGAACATGTGGCACTTCCCTTTGGCAACTCACTGGGAAACTCAGACTGAGAAGAGTTTGCTTTTATATGTCCTGTTTTCCTAAAACTCTCCTTGTTTTGGATTATTCTTCTTCCAACATCAGATACGATGGAGCCGCCAGACGTGGAGCACTTGGCACACAAAGTGCCGTGGGGGAAAAATATCTCCTGAAGAGCTCAGCAGTTCCTGCACGTTCTGGGCAGTGAGCAAGGAAGTGTTAAAACCTCRGGTGAAGGTGGATTGCTCACTGGGGGCTGTTGAGTTGCAGCCAGTCTGTTAAAGCAGGCAGGAGGGAGCAGGACTTGGAGATGAGGACAGTGATGAGGGAGAGGAGTGGCTCATGCTGTGAGAAGCTGGAGGACGTTCAGCCCCACATAGTGAGAGAGGAAGAAATGCAGGATGCTCAGGGCTGACACTGCARTGAGAATCCAGAGAACTCCAGCGCTGAAATACATCGGGGTGAGCCTGGTGGGAGAGAGGCAGCTGCTGGCACCAAGCTTCCTGCCTGGGAACAGCCCYCTCCTCCCTGATGAAGTGGGGTGGAAAGGCAGCCCCTGGCTGTCCCCTGCCCCTGTGTGGGGTCCCATGCCCTGCTTACCCCTCAAGGGAGCAAGCACACCCAAAAGGGCTTGGGGCTGCTCCAGCCTTGCCCAGT